AATATACTTCATTTTAGCTAGAATTAATTTTTGCTCAAATGACTTTTCGGTGTTTGGAATTTATTTTCATTTATTTATTTATTTTTGATGAGATTATGCAAAATATAGACAAAAAGATATATTCGCTGGATTTTATTTACACTGAATTATCCCTTCAGCGAAAATAAATTCTAAGCGAAATTTTACAGTAGTCGGTAGTCATTTTTTTGTATCAGTAAACATGACTTCTTTTTGGAAAGTCGCTATAGCAAAATGTTGTACCCACAAGTGCCCTGTCAAATTACAGAAATTTCTAGCAGCTAGTGATAATTTAGTGATAATGTTTTAACTGTACCTGTCATTATATCACATCTCCAGACACTGAGAGGCATTGTATACTGTAACACATTGCTATCTTGTTCTTTGCCTCCAAAAACAAAAAATCTTGTCACATCATTAGAAGAGTTCTGCGAATGAAAATAAAACAAAGCGTAACTATCTGAACCTAATCCTAGCTGCAGAGGCAGACTCAGACAGACAATGGTCGTCACACCACGTCCTGTAAGATATAGTGACGTACACGACATGTGTACAATACATTGTTCGGTTACATGAAATTTGAACATGTGCTGCGGGATGATCGCCACTAATTAAACACTAAAGAAAAACAGATCATTTTGACATCACGTTCACCAGAATTTATTTATTATTTTTGTGTTTTATTCAGACCATCTTGAAGACATTACTTTAGCTCGCATTTATTAGCCTTAACATTCCATGAAATCAATCCTATGACTTTTTGTTGTTGTATAACCTTCCAAGTGGTCAAAAATACAAAATTATAATATAACATATTCGGAGGAAAAAAAGAACAATAGGCATAACTCACAATAGAGTGTAAAATATCATTTGTTGCAGAGGGTTTTCCCAAGAATGTGATTCTCTGAGAATCGGCAAAAATCAATTTTTTATATGACATCAGTTTGGCTGTCATTTTACATAGTTAGCAATCATACCTGGTATTTCTCAGTCCTATTTGTTTCTTCCTTGCATCGACCTGAGACAATGAAATGATCAGTATTTGGCAATTTATTTGAGGTAATATGAACTAAATCAGTCGGTAGTGGTAGTGTTCTTGACCTTCCATGAAGCTTTGGTCTCTCTTCCAACGTCACACCCGAGTTATGACTACATTTCAAAAGACTTTGTGTCGTCAGATCTGATTGGATACCAGGATGACGAGACAGTGATTCTGATTGGCTGGATGGGTCATTTGTAAATCCTTGTACCCATGTATTTGCCTGGAGTGTTTTTTTAGAAAATTCTCCAGAGCATTCTCCATCAAGGTTCAATAACGGCTCTTTGTCAGATACATCCACTTTGGACTCATCAATCTGTGTAATACTTGCCATAACCTTACTAGACGCTTTCTGTTCTGCTCTGATAACTCCAGGTATAGGAACAGAGACAGGGTGTGTCAGCGGCTTTTTAAAAACGAGTTGATTTCTCAACTGATGCGTAGTATCATTTGGGTTATCATGATGCCGAGTAATTTCTTGGACTTCACAGTCGTAGTTTGTGCATAATAATTTCTCACACTCTTTCGTAGTATCACTCTGCTTATTGTTCTCATATAACTTTTGATGCCGGCGATCATCCGACAATTGCACATGTGTAATTACTTCACCTGCTGATTGGTCTTCTAAATCAATAATTTCATCTATAATGCATGGCGTAGTACTCTCCGTAACATTATCCTCGCATTCAACTTTCAAAATTTGGACATTATAATTCTTTTGTTCCTCAATAAAAGATTTGTTCTGATAGCCCAGAGGTTCAACGTCCGGCTCTTTATCTGGTGATAATGGATAGACCTTGGCCTTAAAGTAGTGAGTCTCTTGAGATTGGAACGACGGCGGTGAGGAATACGGCCGTTTCAATTTATCCTCAGCTTCCTCTATGATGGCATCCATAGATGGTTTGTGTCTCCTCAGATTAGGCACTGAGCGTGCTCTGTCCGAGTGAGGAGATTGGCTACTCAAGGTTGGAATGGCTACAGTAATGTGTCTGCTTTTTGGGGGTGGTAAGATTTGGTTGTAACAGCTGATCTTGTGCCATGTTTGGCAATCTGGAATAAAGTACAGAAGTAATTAACAAAACTTCACTACTTTGATTAATCTGTACAACTAGATTCTCGTCACTTCAAATATGTTTCACCATCTACAAACAAATATTATGTCTCACCAAAATCAAATTTCCAGAGTTCATTTTTCATATTCCTGTCGCCATCTTCACCACCAAATATCAACATCCCATTAGTTACCATGACAGCAGAATGGCCATGGAGTTCACCAGGGCCTTGACGATAACGAATGCGACTCCATTTCCTAGTATCTGAGTAACAAATACAGTGGGGATTAGCTCACATACAAACAGTATCATTTGATAAAACCAATATACATATTAGAATTATTTGTTCTTTGACTAAATATAATTTATCTGTATATTTATCATATGTGTACAGTGTTTCCCGCCAAGCATATTGGGCATTGAGAAATGAGATTTTGTTTCAAAAATTCATCTTGAATCAGACATATTTGATTATAAAAGGCACGAAATGACAAGGAATGTTTCTCTGAGTTCTCAATTTTATTAAGAAACCCAGTCACCTCACTGAGAAAATTTAGCAAAAACAAGGCATAGAGACAAGTCTAACAAGGGTAGAGATCATACAGTATAAACGAAGATGTACAATACTATTAAACTTGTTTCCAAATAGCCAATAAGTGACCTCATAATCAAAACTGTCTTTGTAGACTTCCTCAAAACAATTTGAAATTGTTCTGTATGATGAAATATTAGCTATTTGTCATTGTTACCACAATGTTTTTTGTCATATCACAACCAAGCTAGTTTATTTGGTTGTTGCCATGGCAATTACAATTGTTATCTTTTTACAAATCTCATAGTGGTCCACCAAATGTTCCTGCATACCAAAGCAAGTAACAGATTCAGAAAGACAAACAAAATTAAGATATTGACATGAAATCTGAGCAAGAACCGCCCAAGTTTTTGATCCTGCAAGATCTGAATACGACTTGCATAGGTAAGTTGGTCAGGTGTGAAGGCGATATCAACAACAACTATCATAGAATTAAAGGTAGTCAGAGAAGGTACATCTTACTTTAAGGTACCTTAAAGGTACATCAACTTTTTAATCACATTGGCCTATTTGCATACACAGGTTAAACATTATGTGCTAGTTGTATGTAAGCAATATGGAAAGTTTACAGATCAGTGCTTAGCAGAGAATGAATGAATAAAGAATTTACACATCACACTTGTCACAATGTGACTTACCAAAATTCCACTTCCAGAGATCACCCCTTGTTGTCAAGTTAGTAAGTCCTCCATAGACCCACATACATCTATCATGTACCACTGCACTATGACAATGTCTGGGTGGTGGGGATTCCTCCATATCATAGCTCACATGCCATGATTTACTCTCTGAGATTGAAAAAAAAAAAAAAAAATGTTAATCCAGTACCGTATCTCCAATAGAAGTGCATATTCTCAGAGGCAAATGTACGTCACATAACGTTCGACGTTGCTAAGACATGCACCACTATACCATGTATTTTTATGAGCTCTGCGCGCGCTGCTGTGGAACGCCGGTCAAAGAGCCATGCTAACAACTGAAGTCGAGGAATCAACACAAACTCAACTTTAAAGTAATCTTGAGCAACCAAGTTTATATGTTACACATGTTGGGGTAATCTTGTTACACTGTTCAGAGGTGATTCAACAATTATTTCAAAGCACAGTTTTCTGAGAGTTTTCAGCCTTTGTTTTCACCGTGATGGTTGCCAGACGATGAAAATGCTCAGATGCCCCCCCCGAGGACATACACTGTATTTGTTGTATCATTATAATAAGAATTATTTTGACTGTAGAAACATCTCTGTAATTTACCTAAATGTGCCACTAATAGAGCAAATGGTATCCTCTTAGAACATGAGGATCTACTTTGCTGCAAAATTTACCCCCCTCTCTAATGGTTGATCCCAAACTTTAGAATTAGGTGTTGCACTCACCACAATCAAATGTCCACAGTTCATTGGTTGATCCTTTCAAATCAATATAGCCACCGTAGACGTGCATAGCACTGTTATATAATACTGCAGTGTGACCACGACGACTTGACGGAATCTCCACCTCACACTCCACAGTATGCTTCCTCCAATGCTTCTCTGTAGTGTTGAAAATCCATAGCGGCGTTTCGTCAGAACTACAGAAACCAAACTCGCCACCAAAAATGTAAATGCAATCCTGAAAGAAATTCAAGAGTAAGAGAAACAATAGTTGCTGCACTAGGTAAATGATAACATCTTGTCTGGCTACTGACTGAGAAATTCATATTCATAAGCTTTGAAGCTTAGTCAGACTGGAGCACTATTATGCTCATCAGTACCGACTCATTAATTTGAGAACTGTGATGTGAGCCCTCTATAGACAGAATCGGACGATATGAATAAAAGCTATCAAACAAGGAAACATCAATGTATACAATGTATTTCACATTTATATATCCATATAGTGAAGATCATAGTTTTTTTCAAAAGGAAAACACACAAAATTTAGTCTGCAAGACTGCAAGAAATGTCTGGTTGATAGGAAAGATTTCCAGCTATTTATTCATCAGATTCGTGCATTGTTCCAAGCAACTTATTACCAAGAATAACTAACATGATACATACTTTATATGATACCATGGTGTGCTCTTGGAGGGCAGGCGGTACATCGCCGGGACACCTCAGTAACGTCCACGTATTAACTATAAAATCATATTTCCATAAATCTTTAAGCGTAGTGTTTACGTCTCTGCCACCGTATAAGTAAACGTTGCCTTCGTGTACGCACGCTGCATGTTTACTTCGTGTGTACGGGGTCTTGATATTTTCGGGGAAAACATTGGTCCAGATATGAGTCTGACTAGTGGGTGATGAGGTTGAACCCAACTTCTCGGCTGCCTTGTTGACAATTATGGTAACTTTACCCTGTAAGTAAGGTACACAAAAATAAGAGAGAAAGTACATTTCACTGAAGACAATTACATATGGTGACGAATGTAAGTTACTAGGAGTACATGGCCTTTATCAAAGGATCTAGTTTCTGATAATTTTAATAAACGTTCAAAGTTATACTATTTAGATAAAAACTCCCATGATTAGATAAAGAAAAAGCCACACAATTAAGTAGGATTACTGGTTCCAATCCATGTGAGCTGAGAGAACTCATTAATATGCACATACAGAATGTTTTTCCCAGGATGCAAACAGGTACTGCCATGTGACTTCTTTCATCACCACACTGATCGGACGCCACTATAGACGTAGCTGACTTTTGAAATTAATTTGATAAATTACTGAAATTTTTTGTGTAGAGTTATATCAGTCTAATACAACCAAAGAGTTTTTTGTTTATAAATAATGGAGCACATGTGATATGAATGGAGTACTATTATGTTAATTATCACAATTTCTGTTTGGAATAATTATGCTAATTTTATGCAAATTAGTATGCAAATGTCAGCCACCACAGCGGTTATCAGGGTAGAACACTGGCTTGTACAATTTGCCTTTACCATTCGCAGTAATGAGACATGCTGGACATAAGAATCACAGTATAATAAAATAAAATAAAATGTAAAGCTACAAAAACCAAGCAGCATATCGGCTGAGATAGCTCCGCTGTTAGCAATGCACATTTCAATTAAAGAACTGAAGACATCATTAGAAAATGAACAATATGTATAGTATCAAAGCAATCGAACTTACAGTTTTTAACAGGAAGTCGAAAATATCATTTTCTACCAAAAATGACATAAATATTCACCAAAATTAGAGAATTGAAGATATCATCACGAAATGAACAAATCTGAGACAGGTCTAAATGTAGTATCTATATATGTAATATCAAAGCAATTGAACTTTTGGTTTTTAACAAGAAGTCGAAAATATCACTTTTTACCAAAAATTACCAAAATTAGAGAATTGAAGATATCATCACAAAATGAACAAATCTGAGAAAGGTATACATGTAGTATCTATATATGTAATATCAAAGCAATTGGACTTGCGGTTTTTAACAAGAAGTTGAAAATATCACTTTTTATCAAAAATATTTACCAAAATTAGAGAATTGAAGATATCATCACGAAATGAACAAATCTGAGAGAGGTCCACAGGTAGTACCTATATATGTAGTATCAAAGCAATTGGACTTGCGGTTTTTAACAAGAAGTCGAAAATATCACTTTTTACCAAAAATGACAAAAATATTCACCAAAATTAGAGAATTAAAGATATCATTACAAAATGAACAAATCTGAGAGAGGTCCACATGTATTACCTATATATGTAAAATCAAAGCAATTGGACTTGCGGTTTTTAACAAGAAGTCGAAAATATCACTTTTTACCAAAAATATTCACCAAAATTAGAGAGTTGAAGATATCAACATAAAATGAACAAATCTAAGAGAGGTCTACCCAAGGTACATATACACCAAGTATCAAAGCATTCAGGCTTGTAGTTTTCAAGAAGAAGTCGAAAAAATAAAACATTGACACGGACGATGGACGACGGACAATCACTCATATGATAAGCTCCTGCTCGACAAAGTCGACAGCGGAGCTAAAAATATTCACCAGAATTAGAGAATTTAAGATATCATCACGAAATGAACAAATCTGAGAAAGGTACACATGTAGTATCTATATATGTAATATCAAAGCAAATGGACTTGCGGTTTTTAACAAGAAGTCGAAAATATCACTTTTTACCAAAAATGACAAAAATATTCACCAAAATTAGAGAATTGAAGATATCATCACAAAATGAACAAATCTGAGAAAGATCCACATGTAGTACCTATATATGTAATATCAAAGCAATTGGACTTTTGGTTTTTAACAAGAAGTCGAAAATATCACTTTTTACCAAAAATGACAAAAATATTCACCAAAATTAGAGAATTT